TGGAATTCCCTTTTTAAAAAGAGCAATTTTCCTAGAGGAAGCGCGCTGTTATATACCCGAATCATTCTTTTGTCGGCGAATGGTCGCGCATTCTCACACATCCGGTAGAAAAAACAACTTTGAAAACGCTTAATCCGTCAGGTCTTACTATTTACCTCAATATTTACCGAGTGTGTTTTTCGACGATAAACCCTAATAATTTAAAAAATCCTTCTTTCCTGGGAGAAGCGTTTTGTCCTAGGAGAGAGAGAGGAGTAAGATTTTGAGGGTATACATGCGAGGAGAAAACTCTGGTTTCGCATTTTCCGTCAGTTTTCTGCCGTGAGACCCCGATACAATATCGCGAATAGGTACGTTAGTGCGCGAGTTCATTGTTACGGCTTTAAACGCCGCGAGCATCGATAGCGTTCGATATTTGACGCATATTTCCGGCGATGACGCGGAAAATTATAACATATTTTATTCTTTTGCATGCGCTTGTAGCAGTACGTTGCTAGCGCTTGTGCGTAAGTGTGAAAAATTTCGGGGTGATCCGAAATTAGCGGAAATAATCCGTGAAATTCTAATATTTCGACGGGATTTTGAAGAGAACGTCGAGGACGTGTGGGGTATTATCGCCGACGCGATATCCTACAACGTAAGTTAAAACATATCGATTTTATAACGAAACTAAAACTAAGTAATTTACGCAAATTTTTAGAATAATTATTGTTTTTATCGTTTTATAAGAGCGACTCTCGTAGCCGTCGGTAGCAGTGGCGAGGAAGCGTTTGAGCTTCTTCCACGGGGTCGTAAACGCTTCGCGGAGGAACCAGCTTACCCGAGTCAGGCGACTTCGCGTAAGTACAAATCGGGGGAGAGAGGATTTAAGGCAGTTTATCGGGTAAATTATTTAACACCAAAATAATTTTTAGGCCGTAATAATGCTCAGTCATCTGAAGCCGACTTATGGGATTCCGATAGCATCGGCAGCGTGGAAACGCTTGTGAACGAGCCCGTCGTCGTCGCTGCTGAACCCATAGGTAAGACGGTATAAATATTTATAAAATAACAAAAGTTGCCATGTTAAAATCGATTTATGCGATATAAGTATAATTTTATTTTCAGAAAACATCGAAAATAATGCCGGCGCTAGCGAAACTCTAGGCGCCGCCGCTACCGGTGCGGACGACGCCGACGGCGACGACGGTGACGGCGACGAGGAGGATGTCGACGACGACGACGACGACGACGACGAGGATAACGACGACGAAGACGACGACGACACCGACGACGGCGATAGCGTTGCCGGAGATGGTGGAAATAGATCCGACAGCGACGACGACGACGACGACGAGAATGATGACGACGGCGATGATGGCAACGTCGTCGTCGTCGTCAATGACGGCGGCAACGACGTCAATGTCGACGAAGACGGTATCGAGGAGAGTAATGCGGGAGAGGAACGCGACGACGACGACAATGCCGGGGATAATGGAGAAAACATTCGCCGCTATCGAGAGCCGCTTTCTTTAGCATTAGCAGGTGAGAATTTTTGCGTGCAAACTCACGCGGAATTCTCTAGATGTTTATTTACGTTTAGTTTACGTTCGAATTTAATCAAAACTGATTGTAAATGAAATTAGAACCGAGTTACTCGCCGGTTAGCCTCCATTCCGACGAAGGGGAAGATCGTATACCGTATATTCTAGAGGCGGAAAGAGAAGCGGAATGGGAAAGAATATTGTGGAAGGGTAACGCGGAAATCCCCCCGGAATTACGAATTTTTCCTGATTCCCCCGTATGGGGTCCTAGTCAGGAATTATCGTATTTCAATTTAACGCCGGAAAAGTAAATTCGAACGTAAGTTGTAAGTTGGCTTAAAATATTAAATATTTTTTACAGAGCTCGCGTTTCTAATTATTTTGCATTATTCTTTTACAGTACAACAAGGAGGCACACGCGGACGCGTTCTCTCCTCCTCTGAAATAGAACCGGCGAGAGAGAAGCCTATGGAGGAGGAAGAAGAGGAAGAAGTTCCTCACGAGCGCGGTAATGTTAAGTTTAATTATTGAAATACGAGAGGAAAACGCGCGGCGGTTTAGAAATTTCCATATATTAGGACGAGATGCTAGTATAAAGATTCTCCTGCCTGTCGAAGGCACCGACATCGGTAAACATTTAGAAAACGCGTTCCGCGAAATCTATTCTTACGCTGTTAATTCCGCTAACGCGAACGATTACGTGGGGCTGTCTTTCGCCTCAACGGCTTTAACACGCGGGCCGGCCGGCTTGTCGTTTCGCCCGGTGCGAGACTTGACTCACGAGGATATCTGGGGCCTCGTAAGTTCGGTTGCGCAGAGCGCCGGGGGTCACGATATCGCGGAACGCTTTTTAATAACTGTGTACAATGTCGGGATGCCTTCGGGCCGAGGGGGAAAATCGAATAAATTAACGCGCGAAGATGTGGTAAAACACTCGATCTTAAATATAAATAATCGGGATAATATGTGTCTCCCGCGCTCCCTCGTCGTGGCTCGTGTTTATTGCGAACGCGGCACAGTACGCATGGGCGAGCTTCATAGAAAATGGGAAAACATAAGGCACCCATATTCCGCGTTGCAGAGGCGTTTGGCGGAAGAACTAACGAGAAACGCCGGTATAGTTATACCCGAGGAAGGATGCGGCATCCCGGAGATCGAGCGTTTTCAGCAGCTTCTCTCGCTAGAAAATATCGCGATTGTCGTTTATAATTTCAAGAGTTTCGGTCGCGGAGTCCCTCCTTTATATGACGGACACTCGACGCTAGCCTCTCGTTCTCCTATAGCCAAGTATATATTAAATATAATGTATTATGACCGCTCGCGGCATTATAGGCCTATTTTAAATTTAAAAGCCACCTCGGCTAGTAGATATTATTGTGTTCCCTGTAACAAGGGTTACTGTCGTGAAACGGGTCATCGGTGCTCAGATACGTGTCCGCCTTGCCTCGGTGCGCCGCTGTGCGAGAAGCTAGACGCGCGATTGGTCGGCTGCGACGCGTGTAACCGCGTGTTTTACGGCGAGAGCTGTTTCGAACGTCATCGCGCACCGAAATCTTACGCCGACAAATCGTCGTCGAGTGTTTGCGACGCCGTGAGATTTTGCAGCGATTGCGGGCGTTTGAAAAGATCGGGCGCAAAACACGCGTACGGCGTGGCTTATTGTCGCATATGTTGCGCGTCGAAATCGCTGAATCACCTGTGTTTCATGCGGCCGTTTCGAGGGGGTCGCGTATCGGCATCGGTCAACGCGAAAGAACTCGAAAATGTCGATAAGACCGGTGATAGCGACAATAATGACGACGATGCGAGAGCAGAACGGAAGGGTCGCGCAGCGTTTATATTTTACGACTTCGAGACGCGGCAAGACGAAATGCTCGAAGGGTGCGCGAATGTTAAAACGCACGTGGTTACACTTTGCGTCGCGCAGCAAACGTGCAAAGCTCGCCTGGGAGAGGACGATATGGCGTCGCGATGTCGTTGGTGCGGGGTGCGCGAATTTGTATTTCGCGATGATCCGGTAAAACAATTCGTCGATTTTGCAACGAGAACGACGAAGCGTTTCTCCTGCTTCATCTGTATCGCGCACAATGCGGCGACGTTCGACTCGCAGTTCATCCTGCGCTACCTGGTCGAGAGCGGTAAGACGGACGAGCCGAAAATAATATTAAATGGGACAAAAATTGTATTATTAACCGTGGGACGGACAAAATTTCTCGACAGCGCTAATTACATGCCTATGCGGCTGTCGGCGTTACCGAAAGCTTTCGGACTGAAGAATTCCGTCGCCAAAGGCGTATTTCCGCATTTATTCAACACAATTGAAAATCAAAATTATATCGGCCCTGTTCGAGATCGCCAAAGGCAGTCTCGAAAAGTCGGCCGAATGTTCTAGAACTTTCGGTCGAGCAAGTCTCTTAGCGACAACCGAGCGATCCCCCGCGTGAAGCCGCTTTTTTCACGCTACAGTTCGCTCGCTTGTCGCGGTTGCCAAGACAACCATTCGGCCAAACAAATAAAACATAGGCGCGAGTCTACTCTCACGTTAGATCGCCGATGTCGCCAAGCGGTCCATATAAGGCATTTTTCTCGCAGCGAGCGAGCCGCTTGACAATCGCAACCAATAAGCGATCGCTCTGTCGTCAAGAGCTTTTTCGTTAGAAGCTCACCTCACCGTCATCGGAGGCAATCCCGCTCATAACGTAGTGAACGTCGCGTGCGCTCTGCCAATTCGATCAGCTGTTTTCTCAGAGCGCCGGAGCAGCCGTTACTCTGTACATCGCGACCGTTCGTCGTTTTCGCTCGCACTTGAAGCTGGCCATCCGGTATCACCAGCAACGATTCAGTTGTACCTGTACGCGTGCAGCTTCGCGTTTTTCGGTTCTCTAGCGAGGCTTATCGAGCGCCAGAGATTTCTCTCAATCTCTCGGGCCGGCTCTCGCCTCGCTCTCTCATCGCCGGTCAGGATGTACTCCTCGCGACCGTCGCCTCGTAAAAGCGACCGTACAGTTCTGTATCCTGGTCAGCGTCGCCACAGCGTCTACGGCCGCTGACCACCGACGAGCAATCGAGTTCGTCATTGTTTTTTATCGCTGTTTGTGCATTGTTCACGCAAGGGCGCTGGACCGACGGCCGCGAACGCGGGCGTCTGGGACGCGGAAGATTTCCGTCGCTCGCGCTCAAGATATCCGCCCGCGGAGCGCCTCCGACGCGCTCAGCAAGATCTCCGTCGCGCTCGGCTGACCCGGCCGTCGGCACCAAGAAGATCTCCGTCGTACAGCTGTAACCGTCGATCCTCGCCTGCGCCCAATTATATTTTTTTGGTGTAATGAAAATAAAGAAGTGACTGTAAGTGAACTGTCTTGTGTCATACGGCGATCACCTAAC